GATGGAGATGGAGACAGTATTTGCCATCCAGTTTGGAACTGGCACCTGTCCTACCAGAAGTTTCAATGCACCATGTTCTCACTCTGCTTTTAGTAGAGAAAGTATTTACAGTCTGGGGGAAAAATCACAATATTAAATCACTTTAGGAATCAGCATATGGCTCTACCAGTGAAGTGTCACTCCTGCCGTGGGAGGGCATGGGCAGAGCTCTCGTGGCGAGGGGTGTCTGTGGGGAGGTTGGCAGGCTGCCACAGCTGCGATGGGCAGAGATGCTCTGCATCTCCCTCCCATTTTATTTTCACACTCCAGCCTGATAGTGATGCTGGCAACATTGTCCAGTATTGATTTACGCTGAATGGGATGAGGAAATGGTTTCATAACTGTCTTGCTTTCTTGTAAAGTTCTTTGTAATGTGCCTTATGACCTTATTTCTTTGTACACAAATTGCCTGAAGAAAATTATTATTGAGAAAATGGAGCTAAGGGACTCTACAGTACAAATTGCGGTTACTCCCTGTATCCTAGATTGCCCTCTGCCTGGAAATCTTTTGTTTCCAGTTTCTCCTGAAATAAGCACAAGGCACTTCAGAATACAAATGTCAGATAAATTTTCCTTTTTCTCTTTCCTCACCTCGTTATAGTAATATCTCATTTAATAACTTATGTAGGAAATTGTCAGCATTTGAAGAACTAAGGTATATATGTTAATGCTACTTAGAAATACTGTGCTATAGAATTAGGATCTACTATTAAGATACAGTAGAAGTATATTCACCTACTAGTTTCATAAAAGTACAGGAATTGTAAATTACTTGGTACCTTCAAAACAATACAGGGAGGCTTGTTTGTGGCAAGAAAATTGAAGAAAATGCATGTTGAGAATAGATTCCTTCATTAAGAAGCACTTTATCCTTTTTCTCAGCGTAACTGCATGTTATAGTCCTGATGCCTGTGCTGTACAATACGCCACAAAATTCTGTCAGGAGTTTTGGATCTCATGGAAATTTAATGTGTAAGCTGTCATCTGTGTTATAGACAGTTTATTCACCTCAAATTTAGGCAATATAAAATTTACATACATGTCATTTATCACAGAGTAGAGTTTACACCATTTTAAATCATTCACTCCTACATTGGTAGCTTTTGTTGTAAAGGCTCTGATGTTTTTCTCCTAATGGTAATCACATGCCACTAATTGGTCTTTATCTTAAACTTATCCCATGATAGTCACTTGATAGGAAAAAGCTCTCTGTTTTCTCTGGTGAGTGATAACTCTTGCATTGTTCTAAAGAGCCTTTTTTGTGCAATTAATGTTATTTTTTTTAATCTTTGGAACAAAAATTCTACCATAATAAACGAATTGAGCTCAGCTACTTTTAACCACACCAGCCAAGGACAAAAAGGTCATTTATGTTAGTGCTTCTATATACTATAATTAATCTCTTTCTGACAGCATGGCTGTGAGAAACTCATTACATTCTACCCTGCAATTTAAAAAAAAAAGTTAATTCTTTACTTACAGTATAAGTAGAGAGAAGATAAAATTAATTTGCTTGCTCATCCTGTGAATTGTTATAGTATTTTCTTTCATTGTGAATACGAATCATTTGGTCAGAACTTTTTAGAGGCTGAACACGTTGACTGTTTTTCCTCACATGTTTTCACTGTAGGACGTTTATGATTACATATGAATTTCATGTCATTATTCATTTTATTATTAGCAGGTTACATTTGTGTGCATGTGGGTTCAGTATCTTGATGATGCTCTGCCTTCTTCTGAGAGCTTCCTATGTCGGTGTGTTTGGGCTTGCTTGTGTTTCACTCTCCACTGGTGAATTATGCATGAGATGTAACCCTCCATTAGAAGAATTTAATAAAAATAGTTTAGTTTAGCTGAGTTTATTGACTAAGAGAGAAACGTGTACAGTGACTGTCACAGTTTTTAATGCCATAATTGCACATTGGGTGAAGTAAGTTCCTAACCACTGAGTTAGGGTTGCTTTTTGGGCAATGATCAAGTGCTTGAGTGTATCAAGTCTTCTATGGGGTATCTAGTCCTAGGCACTCAGAAATGAACATGTTACTAGATTATAAGGTCTGAAAGACTACAAAGATAATCCATGTAGGAAAATGAATTCCAGATTTAGCACCACAGAGCTGCATTATCAGCATTTGTATACTCTTTAACTTGAGACCCAAATGAAGGATGCAGGAGTGATTATGGAAAGAAGATAAGCTAGTCAGAAGAGGTACAGAATTATTACCAGAAGACTTTATCTCAAATAACAACAAAAAATCATTTTAAAATTTGAGGAGATGGGCGCTAGCCAAAAGAAACTGAAGTTATTAAAGAAATGTCATATTCCCTGTAACCAGTGACAAAGAGGAAACATTCGATAAAGATGCCTGCTGACAATGGCTAATGAGACAAGGGAATGAGTTTCTAGCAGAGAGAAGAGTCATCTTTTGTGTAGTTTGGAAGACTGTTAAATGTTCAGCCCAACTGTGACCTGTGGTAACACCACAGTAGCCATGGAATGAAGTTACTCTTTTGTCAGAGTTTGTCCACACATGGACATGGAGGATATAGAGGGTGTGGGGAGTGAGGGGATGATGTTGCTGTACCTTGGTTTCAGATCAACTATTTATCCATTAGGATACTGTGCTTTAACACACGTTTGTTGACTCCCATGTACGCATATATATGCTCGGGCACAGAGGCAGATAGCAGCTGAAACAACGTAGTGATTTATGAGATGGGTTATGATGCTTATTTTACATGTTTCTGTTGTTGCTATTTTAATAAAATCTTCTGAAGTTTATTTCAGATGACATTGAAATACTATAGTTACCATAAAATAGTTGGTAGGAACATTCTGTTTATTTAGAGGCAAAATATCGTATTTGTTCAACAGATTTCAAATTTCCTTTTGTGGGCATTACGAATAATTTGGGACCAAATCCAGTTCTTATTAAATTCTGTAGGAATCTTCCAGTTGGTTCCAAAGGGAGTTGTATCAAGTTGTGTTACAGTTTTGAAGCTGCCAAGGTTTAAAGAATGGACATGGTAGTTTTTGGGTGCCTAATATGGTGAGGGCCAAGACCTCCTTTGGGACACTCTGTATAGTAACACGTATTGCAGTGAAATCACCTCAGTCAGGTTTGGGAACAAGGCGTTAATGGATCCATCTGGTGACTCTTTCAGAAGTTGCTTGCATAATAACAGAGGAAATATCAGGAATAAGTAAGAGGACCTCAATCTGTGAACAACAATACTCCTTACATGGTGGAAGGAGAGGGAGGAGGCGGCAGTGGTTGCTGCCCTACAGCAGGTTCATACCCTTGTGCCCTCACCCAGCCCATGGAGGGTGTTGGATGTTCCTCGTGGTCTGTGAGTAATAGGAGAAACGTTCATGGCTCCAGATCACACAGACATAACACAGACTACCAAATGCAGGAGTGTGAGTAGGTGAGGGTTTTTATTAGCAGTGTACCGGGGATGGTGGCCATAGGAGAGCCTAGCTAATCAATCGGCTGTTAGAGAAGAAAGTAGAATAGCACCTGCCCAATATGTCTTGAAATATGAGCAAATTTGGAGAGAGAAGAAAAAACAGTTAGGAGGGAAGCTGTTCTACTTGATACTGCCTCTGAGAGCAAAGATGTTCCAGGATAGGGAGAGGAGAGATGGCTTCAGTGACAATTACCTTGGGATGGCAGTGCTTGTAGGTTATAGGAGGGAAAAGAACTGGAATGAAAAATTAGAAGGAAAGGCTCTAAGAGGGAAGATTACAGTAAAATGAGGACTGCAGGCATAATCTCATAGGGACAGAATCTAGAGAAAAGAAGTTAAACAAAACTGGTTGTTCCTTGAACAAACAATATAAAAGGCGCAAATGCAAATTGTGACAGCCCAGAAGGAGAACAAAAAGCACCATAAAACTGACTAAATTTTAAGCTCTTTATAATCAAGCATAAGAAAGAACCATATGGAAAATGAAAATTCATTTGCATTATTAAGAGGAAAGAATAGTAAAATAATCTTTCTGTATTTGCAACACTAATCTGGATTATGGAACTAAGAGGATGCTTATTAAATTTGCAGTTGTCTCAAACTGAAAAGGGACTGCAAGTACAGGATTAGATTTTTATTTTGACATATTGGAGAAAAAGTCTGGGGAAATAGGTGATATTTAGTAAGAATGGGTGTACAGCACTACACCCAGAAATAGCAATACCTAGCATCAGGGAGAGCTGGCTAAGCAGGGATTTTTGAGAATGATATACAAGTCATGAAAATTACACGAGTAAACAGTATCAAGCTGTTATGAAAAAAGGCAGGGATGGATAAAGAGATATATAGCCCTCAAGATGTATAAAGCAGAGTAATTCATCTGTCCTACTTAGTATTCTGTTCAGCTGCAGTTCTGGGCATCCCCCTTCAATAAAGGCCGGGATGGCGGGAGGGTACAGACAATAGCAATGAGATTGAACACCTAAAAACCATGGCTTGTGAGGAAGGATGTCAAGAATCAGAGTTATTTATCCTAAAAAGTTAAGTGTTGGTAGGATAAAAAAGGTTTCAGGAACCTAAAAGACCCGAATTTATGTAGATGAAGCGAACAAATGATCTGTTATCTGTATCCAGGATGGATAAGCCAAGACATGGTGTGATTAGATTGTAACAGGAATGAATTAGTTTAGACACGAAAGAAAATAAATTCTTATGTTAATGTCCAGCCATTTAGAACATGTTACCCGGGAGATTGAGGAGTATTCAGGGCATATCTCTTAAAATATAAAAAACATGTCAAAAATGACATAAATGTAGATGTTTTGCCTGCAGTGCGGAGATTACCTACTATTCTCCCTGTGCGCAAGATCTTTGAAGTTCTCTGTTGAGCTCATTACTATGTCACATGGTTCATTTTCTGTTCTGTAAATTGTGCAAAACGTTATGTTACTTTCAGTTCAGATTATACTTTTTTTTTTTTTTAATTTCAGTGTGTGCAGAAGCTTACAATCCGGATGAAGAAGAGGATGACACAGAAACCAGGGTATTTAATGCTTTGAATTAAATACTTATATTTTCAGTTCTCAAGCATTATAATTAGGAAAAAAATAGGACTAATTATGTAAGTTATATAACCAGCATTACTATTCCTTTCTGAAATCATCCTTATTGTAATATCTTTTAATAATCTGTGGGGTTTTGTTCTTAAAGGCACATTAAAAAAACTCTCTATTTTCAGTTTTAGAATGCAATAGTTTAATGAAATATATTTTATTTATTTATGTTTAATAAATGCCTTTAAGAGGCATTTAATTATTTTTTAATATAAAGTAGCATAGAATGGACTTTTGAGGCAAATATAAATATCTATTTTCTGGTTTATAAAGTTTTCGTAACTTTTTCATAAAGATTATCATCTACTATCATAGTTTTGGAACCCTGCATACCATTGTAAGCATGTGAATTGATTATCAGTGAAGCTGTTAATTTATGTCGAACATATGCTGGTAATTTAGTAAAACCTATGGCTCACTCAGAGGCTGTGAAGTCTGTTGTTTATTCTGTGAAATTAATATTTTAAACAGAGATATTGAGAATGGTTTGCAGAAATGAACCGAATTCTACAAATGTGAAGTTCTTTCTAGATTCAGTAGATCAGTATTTTCTTATATTGTGGGGAATAGTATCATCATTGGGTATTTATGCAAATTCTGAAGATTTTGCAGTGGGAATGTTGTCAAACAAGTCTAAAATGTTATGTAAAATGCTTAGCTGTATTAGCTCAGACTTTCTACTAATTGCTGCTATAGAATGACCACTTTAAAGATTTTTCTGTTATATTCTTCAGATTATTCACCCTAAAACAGACGATCAAAGAAACAGACTGCAGGAGGCTTGCAAGGACATCCTCCTTTTTAAGAACCTCGATCCGGTAAGAGATTCCTTATAATGAAGAAGATCTTGCAGTGCTGGTGATAATTGAGACTCCCAAGTTTTGTGTAGGAGTTTATAGACTTTTGTAAGCAGCTATGTATGCTTTCTTGACCATTCCATAAACTGCAAAAGTGACTTTTTTTGAAGTCACGTCATATATATATGGGTCTATTTTTAAGTACCATGATTTATAATAATGAATTGAAGTACATTAATATATTTGTGAAGTTCTGTATTTTGTTGTGTTCCTATTTTGAAATGATATTAACTATATATTCATATATTGGTAAATATAGATTTGTCAGTTAACTTTGAATTCAGTATTTTGTTGCTTCTAGTTATTTTGTATCATTCAAAAGTGTACTGAGCCCTCCATCAAATCTTAAAATTACCTCCAAAGCCTGCAGCTTAACTAGAGATATAATAGTATAAGCAAATTATGAAACAGAGGGGAAGAGAATGGTAATAGCAAGATGTTTACATTATTATTTCACTTAATATAGACACTGTAAAAACAGTGCAAATAATATTCTTCTGAGAGGATATCTTTCTTCTATTGCTTATGAAAACAGTAATGAACTTTTAAGAAAGATTAAGTGCAGTGAACAAATGATCTGGACAGACAAAGGTCATAATATTACAAAAAAGCACAGGACTGTAAGTGAAAGGCAAGTATATAAATCAAAGCATGTACACTGAGGTTGGGATGACTCCCAAATACCAAATACTTTCTCAAGAGAACTGATTTAGGGCTGTCAAAGGGGGGAAAATGGGGAAGATGGAAGCAGTTATATAGACTTTTAAGCATGAAAAATTTAAATTTCATTCAAGAAGGAGCTAATGGAAGGGCCAACCTGCAGCTCTGTTTGAAAGTCAGGTGCTATTATGGCAAATGTGATTTAATCCATCTGCTGGTTCTAGCTCTGGGCTTTGGCATATGGGAATGCTGAGCTGAAACCCAGAGTACTCATACTCACAGAGACATGAGGAAAGGTGAGCCAGAGAGACCCATCAAGGCCATGAGTTAGAGCTATGAGAGGATATCAAGGGTTTTAACATAGGTCCCAATGTATGTGCGCTCTTGGGATTCCAGGGACCCTGGTGCAAAGGATTTCCTAACTCCTATATGGTATCTGTTTAATGGGCAGTTAATCAACTGTTCCGCTATAATAAGCTCAAGCCAAAGTCACCTGAATACGTCCCTTCCACTCTTGCATTATGTTTATACATAATTTTGTGCACACAAAGTGGCATCTGAGCATGTGAAATTGTTTTATTATATCTCTTCCTTATTAGTGTTGTATCCTGGCCCCAGTTTGGCTGGTCAGGAGTTAATTTATCCTGCTAATGATACTTCGACAGACCCTTCTTGTTTAAGTCTGTGAGCACTTAACTCTTATGAACCTTCAGACCCATTGGTTTATTGTGTGCTCCTATAACCTGTCTTATCGTAGAATCATAGAATCATAGAATGCTTAAGGTTGGAAGGGACCTCTAGAGATCATCTAGTCCAACCCCCCTGCACACACAGGGTCACCTAGAGCACATGGCACAGGACTGTGTCTAAGCAGGTTTTGAAGATCTCCAGAGAAGGAGACTCCACAACCTCTCTGGGCAGCCTGTTCCAGTGCTCTGTCACCCTCACTGTTAAAAAATTTTTCCTTAAGTTCATGTGGAACTTTTGGTGCTTCAGTTTGTGGCCATTACCTCTAGTTCTGTCGGTGGCCACCACTGAAAAGAGACCAGCACCATCCTCTGCACTCCCTGCCTTGAGGTACTTATAATATAATGAGTCTTGATACTCATCTGGGCCTTCTTCTTTCCTGAGTTTACCCAGTTTCTTGGGAGTATCTCCCATTTGTACAAATCCTCTGGACAAGATCCATTTTGTCTTTTGCTGAGAACTAGGTCTTCTGTCTATTTAGATAGATGTGCTCATTAGAGGAAATGTTCATCAGCCACTCGGTCTGCAGAGTGGGTATCTCTTGGCTTCTTATCATCTGTGTTGCAGTGTTGTGGAGTCCTGCAGCATGAAGCTGTTTCAGTGTAGACATTTTATATAGCTTTTCTAAGGAATTTGAGGACTTACCTCCCCCATTTGTGGAGGCGATCTCAGAACTGTTTTGGTATGTTGGCATATCATCCCTCTGATGTTTTGATCTTCCTGAAGCCCTTTTTTTCTTTTTTGCTTCTGAATCAGTTTTTTGTAATTGTTATTAGTTCCCATAGTCTGTTCCAGATGTTTGGCTAAAGACTTCCTAGCCCCTTCATGGGGCTCTGCAATGCAGCCATCCAAAGCCTGGAAATCTGTTCCTGAAATCTCCAAAGTTTTCTCTTGTTTACCTGCATTTGCTCAGATTGTCCGGTAGCTTATGGACTCTCTTTCTTCTAGTATAACTCCTCCACAGACAGCATTCTGGAAAGGCAAAGAAAATGATTTTGTAAAGGAATTATTATTATCATTAATAATAGTAATCATTATTATACATTTTCTAATGCAAGGTATTGGAAAGCTACTGGGCTCTGAAGTTAGCAAGGGTGTTGACATGCAGCTTTCTTCAGTCTGGTTGCCTCTTCAGTGACACCAAGATCTATGGCTCCCCAGAGGAGACTCTGTGCTGCCCTCTCCCCCTCTTCCCCCCGCTCTACTTCTGTTCAGCGGCTCAAGAGCTTTGGCAACTGGAGTTGCAGTAATTTAAGCATTCCCACCCCAAATCTCTACCTCACCTCTGCCTCTCCACCCCAGAGCACAAGTGAGTGCGTGCCAGCTGCTGCAGTTCCCTGGTGTATTAGCAAGAAACCCCCTTCCCTCTCCACCCCAGAGCACAAGTGAGTGTGTGCCAGCTGCTGCAGTTCTGCAAGAAACCCCCTTTGTCTTGGAGAAGTATGGAAGAGAGGATCTTCAGCTAAAGTCCCAGGAACAAAAATCCAAGCTGTGTATAAATAGTGTCTGTCCCTCCTCTTCCCTTCGCACATACTTTTTTTGTTTTGTTTTGCACTGAACTTCAACCTCTTCCTGTAATAGTTCAGTGCATGGAAAACATACAGAGCTCAGCGAGCGGACATTGGAGAGACAGTGTAGAGCACTTAATGGCTTTTCCCTGATGGCCTTTTAGCAAGTGTCAAGCAGCATTCCCAAATACAGCAGGAGAGCCGGCCCTAAGGCATGGTAACAGTTGTGCTCAGTGCGTGATGCAGAACAGAGCTCACATTTTCATAAAATGTTATCCCACCCCTAACATATTTGTGTTTTAATGTGGACATAAGGATAAGATAAGGGTATCATGACAGCAGGAGAAGTTGCAGTAATGAGGAGGCGACTTAAAGTACTGGTCAGCATTTTAATTAAAGACATTGTGTGGAAAGGCAGGAGCCTCCACATAAAAGTGAAAAATGGCAGAACCATTTAATGTGAGACAAAATGTAAGAGAAGAGCTGCAGATAATCTTCCGACTTTGAGACTAAACTTAGACTGAGCATATTTATGTCTCGAGTCTGTGTTTACCTGGTAAACACTGCTTTTTTAGCTGGTAAACACTACTTTTAAACACTGCTGTGTTTAAATACCCCATAGTTGAACTTAAGGAAAAATATCTATAAATATAAATATTGGCTCTGGTTGAAAATGAAGTATGTTACAAAGGAACACTAGTTGTGGTGTGCAATTCCCTAAGTGGCAGTTTTAAAAGCCAACTGTTAAACTCCTAAAGTCTGCAAAGTTATTTGAATCATCCTGGAGCTTCCTTTACTTTTGGGGATTGATGAGTGTGTGACTGGTCAAGGTCAATGGCAATTGGGCAAGACACCCCTGAGTGAGCTCCTTAAAATAAAAAGCATTTTAAAAAAATCAGTATTTTAATCTTTTTTCATCTTTCTGGTGACTTAATTGGCTCCCATCTGGTTGCTGTCACTCAATACTGTTTTTAGCTTTGCTAGAAGAAGAATTTGGATTAAAACATGCATGTGCATTAAGATGATGGGGAGAGGAGTTTGCAGGGCTCTTCTGCTCCTTCATAGATGACCAGATCAGGAAATTTTAACTCACTCGTCCACACAGTTTTGCTCCTGGAATTTCTCCATAAGTAACTGCAGGAACAAAACTGCGTGGACAGGTGAGTTAAGAGGGGGAAGCGCATTCCGATGTCTGCTTCCCTCTCCCTACACTCCAAATCTAACCTGAGGATGGCCATGCCTCTTCCAAAACACCTTCTCCTGTTCTCCTCTCAGCACAGCCTCTTCCTGGCAGGCCGTGGGGCTGTTGTTCTTGATTGCCTCACACCATACCCGTATGTGCTGGCACCACTTTCTTTTCCCAGCGTGGCAGAGCGGGTGCTGGCCGGCTTGCTTTGTGCACACACAAAACATATTCCCGTACCTTCACGCTCCGGATACCAGAGTTACTGGTGATGGAGTCAGAAGCGCTTGTTTTCACACCTCTCTCTGTAAAGCTTCTTTCCTTTCTCTTTGCCTCTTTCCCCTCTTCTTCCCCTGGGGATGAGGCAGACGGGAGAAAACAAGCAGATAAGCAGATGGGCCGCTACCGAGAAGCCTCGAGCTGGGTCGCTGCTATCAGCTCGGGGTCCCTGCGTGCAGCCAGCGGCTGCGTTATCGCTGCGAGCGGCAGCAGCAGCTCATGTGGGGGCCAGCACGGCCTTCCGCATTTCCCTTCGACAAGGCAGTTCAGAGAAGACTTGGTCCTTTGTTTTTTTTTTTTTTTTTTTTTTAAAGGCAGCCTCTGCTGGGGCTCTTTAATGACAAGCTCTTTGGTTTGTCTGTTAAGGGCAGCAGTTAAAAGCCTGGGGGGCCTGTACTTGCACTTAAAACCTCGACCCTTTTTGTAGCAAAATCTGCACGCAGGCTTAAATGGCCTGTTCTCTTTTAGGGGAGCTTTATTCTTGGGTGCTTTACCCTGTTTATGGAGACTATTTCAAATAGACTGTTCCTTTTCTAAAAGGTAATAAATTATGCATGTTCTTCACAAGTATGTGAGAGCAATTT